TTTCACTTAGTGTAAATAGAATCCATTGCTAATACGAGATTTGAAAAGGGAGGGAAAAAAAATTCGGCAAAAGGCGGGATCCAACCCAGGTCGATCGCGTCAAAAATCCAATGGCACACACTTGTCCATCTGCGCCACTGGAGCTGTAAGTCACTAAATATTTCAGAATTGTGATTTGTTTAGCACTTCTCGGCCACCGTACTTTGGTGACACACGGGCAACTACAGACACACAGGCTTTGCTGATGTGATCCTTTTTTATTTCCAAAATGTAACAGTGCATAATAAACAAACAAACAAACAAATAAATAAATAATCACAAATTTGCACACCAGAAAGGATCAGAAATTGTATAACAACATATAATGTACATGAATTTTCACAGATTTCTAATGTTGTTTCTACATAATACATACAGATGTAATATATAATGTATTTATATAATATCACATTTAGTTTTGTGTTTGTTTGCTTAGTGATTCTTTTTTTATATTATTGCATTCTGTTGTATTTTGTTCCTTTCTCCTTTTGTCTATTATATTCCTACAGTATAGAGTAGTAGAGTTTTAGTATTTGGTTGTCTAAATTCGTTTTTATGTGAATGGTTTGTTGTCCTACATTTCCCTGAGTTCAGTAATCTTCTTAATAAACAGTAGGTACTGCTGCATCTGAATCCTGCTTCCTCGCTGCCCTTCAATACAATCTGTGACAAATATGTTTTTTTTAGAAGTATATAGCTACTACTAATAATAAAAATAATTTTCATTGCATATAATGCATTTTTATTATATTATTTCAGGATCACATCACCAACGCCTGTGTGTCTGTAGTTGCCTGTGTGCCACCAAAGCCTGTAAATGGCGCTAGCGAGCATCCAATGTAAAGTCACGTTTTCAAAGAAGCAGAAGAAGTCACGCTGTTAGGATTGTTCCAACGTGCTCTGAAGCGTGCTCTCACATTGTGTTTATTAATTTTACTGCTCAGCTAACTGTGAGGTGACACTGCAGAGTATATTGTTCAAGTGTTTATATGTGTAATCGCTTTGTTAATTGAATTAATTCGTTAGCATACAAATAAATAACTTACTGAGTGTGGATGAACAAATACTGAAGTTACAGTGGGCTTTATCATGATATCAAAAAGTAATTACTGATTGCTTATTAATATGATAATGTTCTGTTAGAACTTTTGCGGAGAATCATGGGTAAGGTACAGAGTAAGAAAAGTGACACGAGTCATGAGATATAAATGAGAAAACCATAAATACAACACCCTTCAGTCTTGCTATAATAATACATTTTTGCTGCATCATGAAATAAATCAGGAATCTGGTTTTGAGTGAAATAAGTATTAATAAATATATTTGTTAAGCATTTATAACCTGTGAGTTAAAAATGGCTCACTATTTGGCAGGTATTGCATCAAAATCACCCTTTTATTCATGCATTTATAACTGCTGATCAATGATTTATAATGTATTTGTAAGTGAGTTATTAGTCATTTATTAACACCTTTATAAACCCTTTATAAATGGAACCTTAATGTAAAGTGTTACCGTTTTTCTTTACCTAAACCATTATGCCTTGTGTATTTACAGTTTAAAGTTTGAGGGTAAAATTTTACTCTTCTACTTAATAATCTTACAAATATGTACAAGATGTAAGTTTATGAAGTTCTTTTACTGAAGTAACGTGTTTTGACCAGAAGGGGGCAATAATGAGACGTGATTGAAAGCACATAAATCACCGAAAAATGAAAATCCTGTCATCATTTATTCACCCTCATGTCAGCATGTCAGCAAACATGAAGGTCACAGGAGATTTAACTTGGTCTCATCAATGATGAGAAACTGAACTGCATTATGACTGATAGGCATCAGTGATGAATGCGCTATGTGGCTACTGTGGTTTTACATTTTCTCTTATCTGTTCAATTGAGAGATTCACTGAAATATGAAAACAACTTTTTGTGTGCCAAAGCTTCTGTAACTTCACTTAGAAAATCCTGGATTTTGCTCCAGAATAGAAATGAACACATTCCGAACCAGGGTATGGATGAATCCTAATATATGCAGCAATTTACAATATTTAGTCATTATATGCACGCTGTTTCAGACCTGTAAAAAAATCCTTTGGTGGAACAGAAAAGAAGATTTTCTAATGAATGTCTTATCTGTACAATAAAAGTCTATATACTTGCACAGAAGCAAGTACGTCATACAGGTTTGGAACGACATGAGGGTGAATAAATGATGACAGAATGTTCATTTTTTCAATCCAGTGTTTTGGATACCTTTGACTTTTATTGTACAGATAAGACATTCATTAGAAAATCTTCTTTTGTGTTCCACCAAAGGATTTTTTTTACAGGTCTGAAACAGCGTGCATATAATGACTAAATATTGTAAATTGCTGCATATATTAGGATTCATCCATACCCTGGTTCGGAATGTGTTCATTTCTATTCTGGAGCAAAATCCAGGATTTTCTAAGTGAAGTTACAGAAGCTTTGGCACACAAAAAGTTGTTTTCATATTTCAGTGAATCTCTCAATTGAACAGATAAGAGAAAATGTAAAACCACAGTAGCCACATAGCGCATTCATCACTGATGCCTATCAGTCATAATGCAGTTCAGTTTCTCATCATTGATGAGACCAAGTTAAATCTCCTGTGACCTTCATGTTTGCTGCTGAGGTAGCAGTCTGTCCCCTTCCTGAGTGGTCATTCCTGGTAAAAGTGCAATTTCTTTGAAGATGAACTTGTGGTTAGTTTTGGATAGTGTAGTACCTCAAGAGTCATGAACCCTACGGGAAACCATGGGTTTTACAATAAAGCTCTGAATGTCTGTAATTGAAACCTGAAATCTGTGGAGGTGATATTTGTAACCCCCTGGTACTTCCCTTGTGTCATGCTGCAGTAGAAATAAAGTCAGCCTGTTCATGCTGGAAATACATTTAACTTCTTTTAACATTAACTTAAGTAAAGTCTTAAATAATTCATCAAAATTGGAAGTGAAACACCTTCAAAACTCTTTCTTATTACATTTTAGTATATGCGAAGAAAAATGCACTAAACATTATAGCAATAAATTCATTAAATAATAAATAAATAAAATTATACTGTCACTGAATATTCAATGATGTGAAGTAGATGTGTGGATATATGATGGATGGAGATGTATAATAAATAGTCGGAAAAAGGAAAAGGTTTGAAAGGAAGAAAACGTACCTGTGTAAGTGTGGGATCTCACAGTAGTCGAGAGCTGCTGAAATGATTGGCACATAGAGAGTTACCCATTAATTAAGGTCACAGCTTGCAGATGCGTAGAAGACAGACAGACAGAGGAGGAGGAGACAGTGACAGGGAGCACCAGAGTATGAAATAGGAAATAAGATAAAGATCAGTTGTCAGTCATTCATAATTATTTTTCAAATGTTCATTTTGCTTTCTCAATGAAAGGTTGTGCTCTGGGAAATGCAGATGTATGATGCATGTTACAGGCTGACAAACTGCCATTGTTCAGAAGTTAATTGTTCATCAATCTTATGGACCCTCTTGTTCAGCAAAACACTAGACAGAGATGCCAAGAAACTATAACTGTAGTTCTGTATGCTAACTTATAATATTCCAGTCCAGTGTATTTGCAATTTACAAGCTTTTTTCCCAATTTCACTTAGAAAACTATAAATCCAGTTCAATGTGTTATTTATAGTTAGATATAGTTATATGCATATGTTATCTGTTTTTGTATTACAGATATTTCAAGTATGTGTTGATTTTCTGTAAGTTTGATTATGAAATTCTCCATTGCTGACTTTGTAAAAGTAATAGTTGCAAAGTAGAACATCTTTTGTTCGGTTTGCTTGTTTCATCCTTATGTCACAGATGCTCATACAGCGGGATGTTTTTTTCACACCTTTACACCACGTCCTGTTCTTCTGTTTTCTCGTCATTCTCACTTGTACACCACTGCTCACAATTATTCATGTGTACTTTTTGTTGACTGATTTTGGTTTTCACCCTTACATTCACAGATTTTGTTATCGTGTCAGGCTGAACCTGTCACTACTAAAGGCCAAGCGAAAGCTACAAATACCATTTTGAAAGAAGAATAGAGAAGAGAAATCTGGACGTGTTCTTTTAAGCAAAAGAAAAGGGAACCGGGAGACGATGAGCATATTTCTAGAGAACGGTTATAGCTAAAGATGGACCAGCAGATCAGATGCTTAGTTTAAATACAGTCTTGACAAATATGACTTTCTTAAACGGGCGCTACAGTACGTCAAAAACTGTTGGAGTTGCACCTGAGGTCAGGAAGTACCACCTCTCTATTTTTGTTTTACTTGCAAACCTCATGACCCTAGAAAACAGCCTCAGACCCTAAAATACCAGCCCACATGAAAACCAAAAACTTCTCATTGGGCTTAGCAGGGCAACACACTCTTTAACGGAAATGTCACTTTTGTAACAAATTTTAAACATCACTCTAGTGCCATATATCAGCCTGTTTTCTCCCCTATAGGGGTTCCATTACTTTACCCAAGAAAAAATGTAAAAAAAATAAATGTAAAAAAAAGAATTCTGTCTTCCTTTAATCATCACTTAATCATTTCATTTTTATGTTTGTTTACTATAGGACACAAAAGGAGTTTTCTGAAAATCTGAGCTTCTACTAAAACACTATAAAACGTTCCTAAAAGTACCCATTATTGTGTCACGTGACCGGCATGGATTAATGGAAGGTAAAACATGCACTAAACTGCAGAACAAGCTTGTCTTGATGCATTAAAGCCATATTGAGAATTTAGTTTTTAATGGTTTTCAAAAGGGCAAAGCTTACTGTGCAATTTAATGTACTGAGTACATATTCTGGGCGTGTATGCTTGCCTGTATATAGTACACATCATCAATAAGATGTATGCTGTAATTAGTCTTGTAATATCACTGTCTTAATACACTAGTACTTACTATCTAGTATAAAACTGGTAAAAATAACTGGCAGGCAATGGAGGAAAACTTCCTATAAGGATGTGTAGTCACATGGAAACTATGAATACAGGAAGCAAATGCAACGTGCCTTCAGATGACTGACACGGCCTTTCTCAGAGCTGAAAATGATTTACATGAGCTATCATTTATTCCTCATGCATAACATCAGACCAATATATCAAAACAAACATTATTTCATTACATCAGTTCCTGCTTAAAAACAAAAGTATAACTTAAGTAGTATCTTATCTGTGTATTTTACATTTTATTTGTTAGGCTACAGTGCTACCAATATAGTCTATTTTAATAAAGCTTTATTTTACTGTTTAACTTTTATCAGACTAGATTTTAAAAGTAAAAAAAAAAGATTGTTTGGTAATATTATTTATTAATAATATTATTTTTAAAATAAGAGAATTGAACTGAAGTGATACATTATTCAGTTTCACATTTTTGTCTAAAAATTAAATTACACATTTTAGCTTGCAATGTTACAAAATAAAAAAGAACATCAAATCAAGATGTGTAATCCAGAAAAATATTTGAGAAAATTGCAAAAATAAGAATAAATGATGTTTGACAGGGCATCACTTACCACAGCATAACGCTGAGAGCTGCTGAAATGACTGACCCATTGAGGGTTACTCATCAATAAAGGTCAAAGCATGAAGATGGGTAAGACACACAGAGGAGGAGGAGACAGTGGCAAACAGAGGAAATATGATAACGATCAGTTGTCATTCACAATTCTATTTCAAATGTTCAGTTATGTTTAAATACTATTGTCTAGCAAAAACTTGATAAATGCTGAGAAACTGTAACTGCAGTTCTGTATGCTAATGTATAATATTTTTGTATTCGCAATTTACAGTCTGCTTGTGTACTTTTCAGGGAACTGGTTGATCCAGTACACTAACAGTTGCATCCATCCAATGAAATTATCATTTATCCATATGAAACTAAGTTATCTGAAAGACCCGATCTGCAGAATTCAATCAAAATTCCTATCAGCGTGACATTTGGGGTGTCCAAAAACAAGTGGAGGGACGCAAACAGTTAAAAGTCCCAGTGCTGTACTTCAGCACTTTTGGAACACCAGTGGACTCAAAGATGAAGATTTTTGTGGTTAAACCAACCATGTTCTCGAAAGGGTCCCAACACTGCAAATTTTGCATGTTAATCAAACACACTTGATTCAGGTCATCAGCTCATCAGCTCCAGGAATATGGTTGGGAACCACTGCTTTAAACTGAAGTAATGTGATGTTCCCCTTTCAGGACTTCTAGGGCTTTAAAGGGCAGAAACGGACTGTTTTGTGCATGTATTTTTAAATGCAAATGAGCTGCTGCTCCCCGCCCCTTTTCCAGAATAGGGCTGTGCCTTTACAGCTCATACCTCAGATACTCTGCTAAAAACATCTGTTTGGTTTTGATTATCATGTCTATCGCGAGTTTTAAAGCCATATCAGTTTAAACTTCTGATATATGGTTTTCTGAAAGCATATATCAGAAAGCGGCCGTGACACGCCATGTGAGTACTAAACTGTTCTCTTTCATGTCTTATTGTGCTTAAGCTCTCAAATACACACAAGTTTATGTTAAAGGGGTCATCGGATGCTGCATGCACTTTTACAAGTTGTTTGAACTGAAATGTGTGTTGGCAGTGTGTGTACACAACCACCCTATAATGATAAAAAAAAAATAAAAAATCCAAAATCTTTACCTGTTTCTCAAATCAAGCCGATCTCAGATGCCTGTCTGTGTGACGTCACAAAAACAGGCCCCTCCCACGATAGTTTGACTGACAGTAGTGTTTCAGCACAGACTGGACTGGCGTCTTACCTTAGCTCCGCCCTGAGTGA